CAGGGAAGTTCTATGATGACCCAAGTTTTGGGTTAGGTACAGTGGAAATTCCATGGTAGACATACAAACTTCCATGGACATTTCCCATGATCTCAACCAGTGGAAACACGCAGCCTTTGATCTGTAGCTGCCATTTGGCCACTGCTTTCAAAAACGGAAAATTAAACTCCCATGTCTAAGAAGCTCAGAAAGTCCATGGTGTTTTGCCCTGCACTGGACAGCATTTCAGGTTGTCTGAAGACTTTTTGGTATAAAGGGAACTGCCTCACCCAGCCAGCCTGGCCCCTGCTTGCCCTAAAGTTCACCCATGAGGAAATTTAATCAAAACTCCCTGGAAGTGTCTGGATATTTACTGAGATTGCACCAGGAAGACCCCACTCTTTAGACATTTGTTGGATGCGGAAGAAAATGCTGCCTGAAGCATTCATTTAGGAAATGGATTATATCTGGTTCCAGACCGGTTTGAATTTAAGTTTTTCATGACTGACCACAGTATAGTCAGAATTTCACCTTTTTAATTTTTTATACTAAGCTGGCAGTGAAATGAAATGTTTCTGTTTATTCAGGCTATGCTCTTATGGACAGAGAAAGCCCCTTCAATTTAGGCATAAACTAAAAATAAAAGCTGAAAAATATTTATTAATTCTTTCAGCCCTGATCCAAGTTTATTCTGATGGATATTTTTCTTATCTATAGAGGTTTTTGCTAGAAAATACAGATATAGTGTATTTATGTATTTGATATAGTGTATTTCTGTATTTATGAAAATACAGATACAGTGTATTTATATATTTTTAGTATTTCTGTATTTATGAAAATACAGATATAGTGTATTTATATATTTTTAACAGATTTATGGCTGTTATTCCTTTAAATGTTTCTTTCTTATGAAATAAAATATAATGAAATACAGCACATATTTCTTTAAACAAGTTGCAAGAACCACTATGAAAAATTAATTCACTGTGATTAGTCTAGCAAAGTTTTGATTTCACAGAAGAATTTGGAGATTTTCTCTCAGCATTGATGGAACTAATGCTTTGTCTGAGGTGTCTCACAAATCTGAGTTGTTTCAGTCCTATAAAAAAAAGCTCTATGCAGAGAAGATTTAGATTTGAATTATACAAAAATATTAGGAATATTTTCTTTAAAAATATATATTTTTTTCTCCTGGTAATTTTTTCTTTATAAAATTGTTAGAAACACAAATATTGGCTCTACAGCACAAACAACTGCAAACCCACTTTCTTAGAAACCCAAGAAAATGGGGATTAGGTGAATAGAAATACCTTTTTGCTTTCAGTTTATTGTCCTGAAGCTCATACACTTCATAGAAATGAACCCTAAATATATCTGTGAATTTTATTCAGTTAAATTGAAATTTACCAAATATCAGTAACTGTTTTAAAAATTTATTCAAATCAAGATTGATATTAATAATGAAATAAGAATTACTAAAAACCTACATGAAAATTTCCTTGAAGTGAATTACACTGAGATATTTTCTCATTAAGTACCTAAACCCCTACTATTTATAAGGTAAGTAGGAAGTAAGGGTTTGGAATTTTGTAAAGATTAAGGGGAAAAAATAAAAACAAATTAAAATTAAAATTAAAATAATAAGAATAAAAATGTTTAGTGGATCTGTACAAGAAATAAAGGCAGAAATCTCATACAGATTAATTTGCTTTCTGCATGAACGTGAGGTGCAGAACAAAACCAGACAGATTTCACAAATTGGAGATTCAATGCTCACAAGTCAGTGCCAGAAACAAATCAAAGCTGGGTTTAGAGCAGAGAAAAACCAGTAGAAAATAAACGTGATTCATATAACAGTGTTTTTATCTGATAGGAAAATGGAAAACCAAGTATAATTCAATGCTGATCAATAATGGTATGAAAAGTGATTGTGCAAATCGTTGTAAACATAATTTATTCACTGCATGAATGAGGATTAATAGAATAAAATGGTAATAAATGACTTAGAGAGAGTTCTGATATAAAACTCTACAGTGTTGCAGCCATTATTTCTCGTGGCTAATTAGCAATAAAAAATTAATTGTTATGTCAGAAGGATCTTTGGTACAAAGATGCTTTTTTGTTTGTGGCAGTTAAAATGCTACGTTCTAGGAACTCCCTTTTACAGTGTCCATTATTAATTATTGAATTAGCTTACCTGTTTCACAAGGAACAAGACCATGAGAGAGCTGGCAGAGGTTGGAGCTATCCTGGACCAGAGTCCCATGCTGGAACAGAGAGCAAGAAGTGTCACCATCCCTTTCGGGTAGATTTGTCCCCAATACGCTGCTATTTCACTCTAAAGATCAATTATATTAATTAAAAAATAAAAAATAGAAGTAAAAGTGTCTTCTTTTATGAAAGCCACTGTTCCATGAATGCTCTTTCCAATAAGTGAGGAAATCTCCTGAAATGTTTAGCTTTGCTAGACTCCAACTCCGCTTTGGTTTTTCTGATTAAAGGCAGAGAGAGCTCAGTCTAAACTTCACAAACTCTGCTTACTGCAGCTCCTCCATTAGCCAATAAGGAGGCAGAAAACTATTAAAACATTAAAGGGCTGATCCTGTCCCTTGAAGCACCACAGGAATTTTGCCAGTGATTTTTCCAGAATGCAATCCAGCTCCACAAAAACACAAATACATACATACATACATACATACATACATACATACATATTTATATATCGAAATTCTATTTCTATTTCTATTTCTATTTCTATTTCTATTTATATTTATATTTATTACAAGATTTATTTTATATTTATTCTATATTTTATATTTATAGGTAGAGTTATATTTATATATATACATGTATATTTATACACATATTTATACATATCTCTATATATGTGTATGTTTATCCATATATATATACACATGTATATATTTTACATATATATATTTATACACATATATCTATATTTATTTTATATTTCTATTTCTATTTAATATTTATATTCATATGTTTGTACATATCTATATATGTCTATTTTTAATATATTTTTATATATATTTATACACACCTCCCGAAACCAATAAATGACACCTTAAAACACAGAAAAAACTTTGTGTAGGGAACTTGCTGACTCTGGTTGTCTGTCAGAAAACAGCTCACTAAAAGTTGGTTTTATGCTTTTTGATCATATTTTGTCAAATGTGCACACCCAGTGCAGTATCAATGACAATCTATATGCGACAAAAAGAAAATGCTCCCAGTAGTGAAGTTTTACTACAATTCTTGTGATGTTCAATGTTTTCTTCAAAGCTGCAGCTGCCAGGTGGGTCATGGCTGTCTTGGTGTTACCTGCACATATTCTGTTTACCCACCTCTCAAATTTATTCAGCAAAAATCACTGCATGTAACACTTTGTTTGAAGGAAGGTCCAGCAAACCTATTTGCTCCTCTGTTATTCTCTCTTTTTTTTTTTTTTCACAGTTTAAATAGAGCTAATCAATAAATTTATCCTATTTATCCAATTAAACAGAACCATTCTTGCCTGAAAAATTGATTTGAAAGTTGTGGTACCAGCATTGCTAGGGAAATGAGCAAAACCTGTCTCTGTGAAACATCTCAGACTGCAGGTGTCATCCAGAAGGCATCAGTGGTTTCACAGGTCTCAAAATACATTTAATTACAGCCATATGCAGATTAGTCACAGGAACAGAAACAGAGATGAGGGTTTAATCCTTAGAAGGATTTCCCTCCCTCCTGCTCTCACATTTGCTCCCACTCCTGTTCTCACATGTGCTACACCCTTGAGAAAATGCAGGGAGACAAAGGAAATTTTCTAATTTTAGGAAAAAATAACACCTGGCTGGAGCTACAGCTGCATTTTGGGTTGTGAGATTTGCTCTGCCTTTGCAGACCAGACCTGCTTGGTCTTGCACTCTGTAAGCTGAGCTTTTCACGGCAACGTAAAGCAGGCATTGATCCTGTCACCCTTGAGTTTCATCTGCTTCTCCAGCTCTGACATCTTTGGGTGGAGAGTTGTCTTGAAAATCCAAATTATTTTCATTAGAAAGTACATAAGTGACTTCAGTGTCTGTCCTGAGGAACCATTCTCCCCCAGGGCACAAGTTTTGACTTCACAGTTGTAAAATAAAGCAGTGAATTACTCTAACACCCACTTCCTTTTAGTTCTTTGCATAACTTACTTGCATCACCAAACAGGCAGAAAAAACAATATATATAACATAAGGTGGGAAATGTTTCCTAGATGGAGGAAAAAGAAATGCTATTCACACAGTGAAATATCAAATAAGGATAATTCAGCATTTTCTCTAATGCTTCACCTCCCTTGGGCAAAACCTGTGTTGTGTGTTCATGGAGACAGACTGTACAGTGCCCAGGAAACCATCAAGAACAAATTCAGGTAATTTAATCATTTTCAAATAATTATTTGTCACTGGTGGAGCTCTGAACAGAGGCAGTCCCCTTTCTAGTGCTGCATGCTGTGAAATGCTGTAGCTGACCAACCAGTTTTAGGTCTTTACAAGTTTTTAATAGCAAGAGTCACAACTGCATTCAATTTAAAGAGCTCAGTGTCACAGGAGCATTTGGAATGGTGAGATTTTGTTTATTCCTTAGCTAAGAAATAGAGATTCCATCAGTCTGATCAAGGTAAATAGGCATGTTTTGCTTGTATAAATAAAACTTTAGTGATTGCACACTGGGGTGCTTCCAGTGCTTCTGTGTTCTGAGTATGATTCATGGGGCAAATGAACATTTATTGTCACACTTCCTCATATTCCTTCCACAACACATTGCTGCCAAGCAACACTGTCCTTTATTCTTAATCTCCCCTGCCACATGATTTCTGGTCATGCCCAGATCTCTGCTCTCTGCCTTAAACTCCTAAGCCAGCACAATTTTCTGGGAGGGATGAGGAATGGGATGGTGAAGGCAGGCAGGTGCTTCATCGGGCAGATGCAGAAATTTGCAGAAGGGAATTTCAGGGATAATTTCTGGTGCATCTCCGGAAGATGCCATCCTCCATCCCCGAGGCAGACAGGAGGCACAGAGCCTCAGCAGCATTTTCTCTGAGTTTCCTCTCTTTAATCTTCTCCATCACAGCTTTCAGCAGCAGTTACTGGTGCGAGGGGACCAGGAAAGTGGCCAAGCCTTTCTGCAAAGGGGACAGCAAAGGGGATCTGTGCATCCGCTTCAACAGCGCCGACGGCAACGGCAGCCAGGCTGTGCAGTACATCTGGGAGACCGGCGATGACAAATTCGTGGAGAAGAAGTTCCACGCTGGCATCTGGTACTCCTGTGAGGAAATGATCAATGAGGAAGGTGGGTAAACCCGTGGGAGTTTATTTAATAAATTAATCATGGTTTTTTCCTGCTTATTTGGTGTGCCCGTCCCTTCTGCCTCATCACTGCCTATGTATTTTATGGTGTATTGTGGTTGTTTGTTTGCATCTTCACATGAAATCACTGCTTGAATCTACAGCCAGGTGTCTCAGGGCATATTTGGTTTTTTAAAAGTTGAGGTGTTGGGAAGGATGAAAGTTTGACAAGGAAGTCTCACAGATATGTGTATGCTTAGCAGAAAGATTTGTGTCCTTAAAAAGTTGCTATTCTCTGGTGAAAGGGACCTTAGAGGGTAGTGTATAGTCAATTCTTTAAAAATTCCTAATAAATTCTGCAAAGAACATGAAGGTGACAGGTTGTGGTGTTGATTTAGCTGACAGGTTGTGGTTCCTGTCAGTTAAATACACATAATCAGATTAAGATTATTTGGTTTTTATTCTACTCACCATAACAGCAAGTTAAATGACTCTAACAAGAAAGCATTTCATTTTTCCAGTGGTTTTATTCCATTAGTCCAAAATGAATCCTTGCTTTAAATAATTCCTTCTGATACCCTATGGATAAAATGCCCTAAGGATCAGAAGGATCCATAAAAAACATAAAAACATAAAAAACGCAAACTGATTTTTAAAAAAATAAAAATTAAATCATTTGCACTAATATATCTGTGGGATCTAAATTAGTTCCCGGATTTCCTATTGAGCACAAGTATTTCTGCTTTCTTCCTGTGATCTCACCTTGCATAAATCAAAGCAGAAGAGGATTATTTTCATCCTGCTAAAACATGATATGGAGACTTACTCGCCATAAGTGATGGCTTTTAATTGGGACTCACTCTGCATATGTAAATGTCATTAGAATGAAATTAGCTTGCCATTACAGAAACTTTCTAGCAAATTCTGTATTTTTGTATAAGGGAATTGCTGGTCCAAGAATTCCAGCATTTATTGTAAAACCAGATCAACATTAAGTTTTTCCCCTTATTGCCCTGATCAGTTTACAAGCCCAGCTAGAGCAGAACTTCAGATAAATCAAAGCAGCTGTCACCTATGCCATAAAATGCAAATATTTTCACAGTCACCTGTCCTGAAGGACCAGTTTTACCAGAACTTCTTGTAAGTTATGCAGTTTTAAGGGGAAAATGTCAAAGATCAGAGCAAAAGTCGTCCAAAAGACACTTTTATCCACGCTGTGTGTTCCAGGGTTGTGCAATTTGAGCATCTGCTGTGGAAGCTCAAGTTTGGAAGCTGATGTTTTCTGACTTGGTGCAGTTAGGAGCTGGAAAAAACAAAAAAACCACGCAGCATGTTCAGATCAGAGAATTAATTCCCAGAGCTTTGTTCACAGCATCTGTGCGGGGGGCAGGGGGGCATGTGGAAACCAAAGCTTACAGGAAGAAATTGGAATGAAGCTTAGAGGGAATTTGTGTGAGCAGCAGCCCGGCTGCTGTGAGGAGAGCAGCCCTGCCCTGACACCAGCACTGATCCCAGTCCTGCAAAGGAATTCTCCCCTCCTGGCTCTCGCAGCCACCACCCCATGGAAATCAGTTCACAGCCCTCCTCTGGCTCCTCCAGGCTCTGGTTCTGCAGTGAAACAGTCTGTGAGGACTCTCTGCTTAAACCCCAGGAGAAATTTGATGTACCAGGGTCTCTGTGTACACTAAAACCAGCTTCTCCTCATCGTCTCACTTTCTGCTTCTACAACAGCTTTTCCATTTCCTTCTATTAATCCCTTTCTTTATATCATTACAGAGTACAAAATAATCCTGAATTTGATTTATTTTTTCTCCTTTTTAGGTGAGAAATGTAGAAGCTTCATCAGTCTGACTCCAGCTTCTGATCGAGGTAGATATTGCATATTGTTTGTCTGTAGTCAAAACTTTCCTGATCACGCTTACCAATATAAGTATTCTGCATTAATTAAATTACTCCATTTCAAAATGCTTGCTTTAATCACAAAGAGTATTTTTTGTCCTTTATTTACTTTTCTAATTTCAAAATGAAGGTAATATGGCTTACAATATCAATGTATGCCTTTCTGAAGACACATCACTTGGATACGAATGGTTTTTGAAATTGGAATATGGGTACTGGAAGTCAAAATTTGTGTATTTTTGCCCTCTGTCCCCTCATACCTCCATATTTGGAGCCAGGAATTCCATGGCAGTGTGTGAACATCCACCCAGGAGGTTTGTGTGCTCAGGGGATTGAGGGAGATGTGCTGTGCACCAATTGATGGAATCTGAATCCCCTCCCTGTGCCTTACTCAAGGCTGTGGGGACACAGCTCCATTCTCTTCTTTCAAAGAATATTCAACAATTCTTAATAAAAATAATTAATTCTTAATAAAGAACTATAGTTCTTAATAGAGAATATTTCAAATCTTTTCATAAAACATTCCTGCAGATGCTGCTTTGTGCCTTCCTCTTGATCCCCAGTGTGAAAACACCAGTCCATCACTGATCTGATTTGACCAATCACTTTACAAGTGGCTGATCCAGAAAAAATCCCAAAACTCATTCTTCCCAGTGGCTGACCCAGAAAAAAACCCCCAAAACTTGTTCTTCCCAGCATTCTGGGACTGGAGCATTTGCCTGGAAATGCAATTTCAGACCCTGGAGAAGAAGAAATACTCATTTTCTGAAGGCCACTCTTCCTTCTACCTGCTGCAGCTCATCACAGAGACTTACAGCATCACAGAATTTTGTGGTATGAGAAAAAAATAGAAATGAGATGTGGGTGCAGTCACACAGAAGTGAGGGGTGGTTTTTGAGCGTTCCTCACAAGGAAAACTGCTGGTGGACACAGAGCTGACACTGACTCTGAACAGCAGCAGCAAATGTCACGGGCACTGGCAGGCCAGTGCAGACAGCCAAGAAGCCTCTGGGTACCTAAAAAGCAGAAATCTCCCTTTGGGCAGTGAAATGCTGTGTGGAAATCCTGCCCAGGACAGATTTGTGCTCTGCACGTGCCTGGGGGTGCTGTGGGATCCCAACTCAGCGTGCAGCAGGCTCAGCCCCCCCGAATTCCTCACCCCTGGGTCCCACACACAGGGCTGGTCATCCTTGTCCGGGGCATTTCTCACAATGGCTCACTGCCCAAAAAATGTTAAAATGCAAATTCTCACAGCTGGAGCAGCCAGCACTGTTGGGCAATGCAACATCTGGAGCTCCTGATGGAAATCACAATTTTTTAGCGAGACAGATTTTCTGGAGGAACAAACCATGTCCAAGAACACCCACACATAGCCTGGCCCAAAGATTTAATGTCTGAATGGCCCATGAATCACAGAAGTCCCACAGACATTGTCCAAGCCAGCATTTGGAGTTATACACCACACAAACTTTGTCTCCTGCCCTAGGTGGTGTCTGGTAACCAAGGATGTGTCTCAGCAGTGTTTCAGTTTTTAAATTATGATTGTTTGTTTATATCTTCTCATGAAATCACTGCTTGAATCTGCTGCCAGGTGTCTCAGGGCATATTTGGTTTTTAAAATGTTTGAGTGTTGGGAAGGATGAAAGTTTGACAAGAAAGTCTCACAGATACGTGTGCTTAGCAGAAAGATTTTTGAATGTAGAATCTGAAGAAGATATATAAATTAAATCAAGTGTTGATATAGAAGAAAAGAATTGCTGAGCCAGTCTCACTGGATAACCAAGGAGGCAAAGGGTGTGTTGATTAGAAGGGGTTTTTATGGTTTAGAGCAAAGGATAAACCCACCTCAAACAAGAAGATGTTTTTACCAAGCAGAAAGAGAGCACAGGCAAACAAGGCAGCAAATGCTGCAAGTAGAAAAAAGGTCTCAGAATTTTCCACTGCAAGAAAACTGAAAAACAATTTCTAGCTTAAACTGTAATGTACAAACTTTTAGTGATTGGAGAACAGTAACATGAACATGGTAATTATAGCAGTTATGATAGGCTATAGATAAAAGTTAAGGTATAGATTGGTTCTACTGTATTAAGATGCTCAGCAAAGAAAAGTATAAAATGCACTGTAACCAAAACCAAAGGGTGTCCTGGCCTGCCTGCAGCTTGAGCTGACAGCTGTAGGCACAGCTCTGTCACCCAGACCCTGGACTGCTGTGACATCCTAGATACAATAAACTGCATTTTGAAGAGCTGCCTGGAGTCCCACATCCCTCATTTCAGCTCTTACATTTGGGAGAGACCATTTGCCAGATCTTGCCACAGCAGATTTGGACACAAGGAGGGCTCCTGCTCCCGGCTGTGGGACATTGGCATGCTAAAGGTCAGACAGGCTGAGAGACTTTCATGGCAGGATTAACTTCTTGCATAAGATGTAATTACCAGATCTCCAAAAAGAGAGGAATTAGCAGATAACTAGGGAAATGAATCTCAGTGAAACCTGGAGGCTGTCTGGCCTCATGAAGGCTTCTCTGTCCAAGAAAATCAGGATCCTGTTTGGTTCAAAGTTAGGCTTGTGGGGAAGATTTTATTGAATGCCTGGACCCACAGGCAGCACAGGTGTGTGCATGACCTCCAGGCTGTTAGCTGGGTCTGCTGCTCCTCTCTGCACTCAGAACCATGACACTAACACTTCTTTTTATATGACCTTTGCTTCTTTGTATATTACCTTTGGTTCTTTTTATATTAAATTTGGTTATTTTTATATTACCTTTGGTTCTTTTTATATTACCTTTGGTTTATGGTGACTTTAGGGTAGCTACTGAGTAAAAACCACACTGAACCACATTGCAGTGTGTGTAGCAATTGCTATTCCAATATGCAACCGCTTTTCCAATAATTATAATTTGAAAGTTAATTATTTACCTAATTAATTAAAATTATTAAGATCAACTTTTAAAATCATTAAATTTATTTTCCAACAATTATAATCAATTTGTCATTGACACTGAAGTCCTCCACAGATGTTCTCATTACCACAGCACCCTCACAGTCCCTGTGCTTCTGTTTAACTTTGCACAAACAATACAAATGAAGAAGGAAATTGTGAAAATCTGAAATTATTTGCTGATAATATCAGTGCTGTTGATTTGGTTTGCAGGGGTTTTGTGGCTGTCTATCATAGCAGAGCTTCTCTATGTGGTTTTGCTCCTGATTGGAAACATTCTGATGTCAGTAGAAATCTGCTACTACAGCTCTGTCATTGATGGGCTGAAGATCAACGCCTTCTCTGCAGTGGTCACCGTGCTAGCAGGTACAGTTAAACACCTCCATTTCACAAAGTGAAGCAAAATTTTACGGGAAAATATTCTTTTCAATTAATTATTTCTTAATGCGATCTATTTTGAATTTTAGATTTGTGGATTTTGCTACGTTTAACTTATCATTTTTCATTTAGTTGTCAGGTGGGCTGCCAAAGACTAAATAACTAATGTTATCATAACATTGTATTTTTTAGGGCTTCTGGGCATGGTTGCTCACATGATGTACACAACTGTGTTTCAAATGACTGTAAATCTTGGTCCTGAAGACTGGAGACCTCACACTTGGGATTATGGCTGGTCCTATGGGTACTAACTGGTTTATACTTGGTTCTGTCCTGTCACTGTTCCCTGGGACAGAGCCCGACCCCACCTGGCTGCACCCTCCAGTTCATGTTCATGTGGCCATAGTTTTACATGCTGCTTTTAATTTCACACATTTTTAACAAATTGTATTTCAATATAATTTTTTAGTTCTGTCTCCTTAAGTGTTTTAGCATTTCAGAGTTGATGCCCTTTATTCTCTGTTTACTGTGCCATGCATTTGCTCAGGAATGCATTTCAATGCCCTGAACCTCCTTTACCCAGATATTTTATAGTTCTTTTTAACACTTTTGGGTAACTCATATTTTTTTCAGTGTCCCCTGTGAGATTTATACCCTTAATAACTGCACCTTTTAACTTTTCATGCATTTCCATTTTTTTAAATAAAATTCCTTTCTGATATTAAGCTCTAAGCTTATTAGAGAAGTAAAGCTTAAATAGAGCTAAAATAGGGAAATTGGAGGTAGGTTTCATGAAACAGGTATGGTAAATGTAGATATTGCAATAAATATGTAGAGGTCTGTAAATGGTCATTGACCAAGAGTATTTTTTCCTCACCCAGCCTGTTCATCTTTCCCTAATACTCACCAACACAATCACACATAATCAGTGTTTTCAAAAATAAAATTGAAGGGCTTGAATATGAAAATTCTCTGCTAATTTCTGATAATTTTTGCTTTTTTATTCACAGCCTTGCATGGACCTCCTTCGCTTGCTGTATGGCCGCAGCTGTCACCACTATTAACAAATACACGAAAACTATCTTGGAATTCAAGCACAAAAGGAAAAAGCTGGAAAGAAGCTTTAGGATTCAGTACAAGTTTCCTGAGTACACAGCTCCAGAGAAGGTTTGCAATGTGTATGTGAACTCTTTCCAGAACACCACAGATGACCCCGCACATGCATTGAGAAGTCTGCGTCACCTGGCCACTATTTCAGTCCTGTAAAGCTGAACCAGATCTCAGAGAATTCTGTAAATTATAATCCTAGATCCAAACAAAACGGTGTTCATGAATAAAATGTCTCAATGTGTAGTATTATTTATTTTTCTTAATAAAGAAATTATATTTCCGTGGATGTTTCAAGGAAGTCTTGGTATTGGAAAAGAAGATTCAGGTGGCTCAGTTCAGATAAAAACAGTGAGACAGGTTCCTCCCAGGTCTAGTTTTTAAGCTTTTAACTGATACAGAGTATGTGAGTTGGTTAGAATTTTAGAGCATCACTCCATTCTGATTCTTTATTAAAAAGACTGTAAAAATCCCATCCTGAAACCAAAAGCCATGAGAAGCAGGGCAGCAAATAAGGCATGTGGGGCATGGCTTGGATAATTTTTGGTGGTGAAAGGTTCAATCTCTCCAAGACAACATGTGGACCTCAGCTCATGGTTCAAGAATTTCACCATACACATGGTGGATTTGCAGTGAAAGGAAGGCTGGTGGAGGGAACAGGTTTCAGTGTAAACACTTAGATAAAATGAGAAGGCAAAACACAATCTGGAAGATTCATGAGGAGGCAAAATGAAATCTGAAAAATACCTGGTGGTGGACAGCACACCACTCACCTATGGAATTCTCCTGGAATCACTCTGGGAACAGACTCAGAAAGAATCAAAATTTGATTTATACATTTATATGTGAATAATCTATAATCACATTAAAGATGGGGAGGTGGAAATGATGGCAAACATCACAGATCAGGAACATGGGGCCTCCAAATGGAACTGAGCCATGTGCCTGCTTGGTTGGGCACCAGAATATTCCTGTTATTGAGCCCCTTGGGAAACACACTTGTGAACTCTGGGTGACAGAGATCCTACCCAGCCTACTGAGCAGCTCTGACTTTGGAAAAACCCCTATCTATCTTTATTCAGGCAATAAATACAGTTTGAGCTTGTTCTGCCAGCAGGACCTGTACCAGCTCAGGCTATGGCCAGCGATAAGGTGGAGCTGATAACAGAGAAGCATCATTGAATCAGAAGAAAAACCATTAGTGGTGAGAGAGAAGAGTTTATGTGTACGTATTGAATATACTCAAAAAAATGAGAGTTCCTCATTGGCAACAGGTTCCAAAACTTTACTGCTGCAATTGTACAAATTCACTGCTGCAATTGTAGAAAAACAATTTCCTGTACCAAATCAGAATGCCATGTGTTCCAGTTCATGTCCATTACCTTTTTTATTTTTACTGTGCATAGTTGAGAAGAATCTGGCTCCATATTACCTACACCATCCTCCTAGGTGGCTGCAGATAGCAGTAAGTTTTCCTCTTTAATCTTTAGAAAAGTCTGTGTTTATCCTTTACAGTGCTCTGAAAGTGCCACCTTCAGTCCAGCAGGGAACAAAGCAGTGGCCACAGTTTGGTGCCACTGTTAGAAGCATTCTCAATCCTTTCACCAAAACACAAGATCTTGATTCCTCCCCTTGTTTCACTCATTTCTCTGTAATGGATATGTTTCTAACCTTCACCAAGAGAGGAATTATTTCTGATTCCATCTGACTTTCTGCTTTTTGTCAACCCTAACTCTTATTTTACAATGGATTTTTACCCACCTCATGCTGTTCCTGGGTGTGATGGAAGAATTTCCACCTCATCCAGGAACATACTTGGCTGATGCCTGCGAGTCCTTTGAAAAATCCAATTTATGCAAGTGCCTCATTTTATTTGCCTTAGCCAGCAGGTCACTAACACAGTCTCTCCATATGCTGCTTCCTCAGGGTTGTTTCTTACACTGGTTTGCAAGCACATAAAGTGCTGTAGGTAGGCAAGGGCTTTTTAAAATAATTTAGCAGTAAGAATCCATCCAGATCCATTATTAAATCTCAAACTGTCTGTTTTTCTCATGCCAACCATTCCAGAACCTGTATGCCTTCTGCTGAATGTCTGGTAAATAAATTCACCTGATGAAATGCAAGATTTCTTATCCTTATTTGTAAGCCACAATTTTATATTCTGCCTCTCATTTTAAATTTTGACACCTAGTAAGTCCTGGAACCACATTATTTGAAAGCAGAGGAAAAGCACCAGCAGCATTTTTATTCTGATTCATTAGATCCAATCAATTTTGATGAATTTGGCATCTCAGTAAATTTCAGACACAGATTTACAGCAGTCCTGGTTAACACTGGAAACCAGGTATTTAATGAGAGAAATAGGCACCTCTGGGATGCAATTCATGTTATCCTGAACTCATCTTAATATTTCTTTTTCTTATAATAATATTTTTATGTGCAACATATATCCACAGGTGAGACAGCAAAACAGAGATCAACAAATGAAACAGAAAAATTCAGATTAAATAATAGATTTCCCCAGAGGGAAAAAAATACTGTGTCTGAAATACCAGTGGAGAAACCTCATCTTCAAGATGAGAAAAAGCCACTGAATTAGAGAAAAGTGTGACCCATTTAAAAGGTCATCTAATCCTTCTTTTCTTTTAGGCAGGATAAACTAAAGCTACATTGCTTTTTTACAGATGTTTCATTAATCTCTTCTTTAAAGCTTCTGAAGACAGGCATTTGAAAATTTCTGTGGCAATTTATCCTTTGTGCTTAACTATTCTTAGCAGAAAATTCTGTCCCTGTAAATCTCCTTGGCAGTAATTTTAGCACATTGTCCTACTCCAGCAGACATGGAGAACACTTCAGTCCTGCCTCCACTGCAGAACATTGCAGGAATTTGAAAATCATTCAGATACAACTTTCTAGGTAAAAAATAATCTGGTTTTTAAAACTTTCTTGAAGGATATTGGTGTTATTTTACCTCTCACTGCCTTCTGCTGTGGCGCCTTGAACTGCTCACAGTTTGGAAGGGAAATTGTGTGAAGAATTTCTGCTGATCTCTAGAAGGTGCAAAATGCAGTAGAAGGATTATTCAGCTTATTTTAACATGTAATCCATTTGTTTTTACAACAAAGAAGGACAATAATAGAAATCAGAGAAATCACAGAATGGTTTGGGTGGGAAGGGATCTCAAAGAGCATCTGTGTCATTTCACCCATGGCAGGGACAACTTCCACTACCCCAAGTTGCTCCAAGCCCCATCCAACCTGGCCATGAACTCTTCCAGGGATGGGGCAGCCACAAACAATGTTGGTTCATGTTTAGCTGGGATGTCCTGTGGTGCCTGACCCTTTCCTGATGAAATTATGCTTATTCTGCATGTTGCTCTCATGGAAATGTGGAGGACTTGACTGTTGCTGAGTACAGAAAAAAACAGAACTGAGATTACAACAAATGCCCATTGGTTTGAGGGAGTAGAGCTCTGCTGAGGACCAAGAAAATTTTGAACAAATGATTGTTTGGCTTCCCAGTGAAGGAACAATCACTCACACCACAATAAAACCCCAGTGCTACACCAGAAAATAGATGGAGCTCCAGCACGAGCTGCAGGAATTGACCCCTCCATCCCAGAGCTGAACATCTCCCTGAGCCAGGTCTCCTGAACCCAGAACAATTAATTTAGAGCTACAGCCAAAGGTTCATGTCCCTGCAAGTGACAGATATTCCTTTGCCCTCAGAATTCCTGTCATGTTTGGTATTAAGAACAAGGTCTGTAAGTGCTGGAAGTTATGTGAGCAATGGGACTTGTGGCAGTTTGGTTCCAATGGCACATTATCATAATCCCTAAAACCAATTTGAAGATAATTTAAATTTAAATTTAGGAGCTAGTCCAGCTGACCCTTCAATGGTGTTCTGCTTCACCTGAAGTTCCTAAATTTACAGATGATTGTGTGTGTCAATGATAGCGGAGTTATTCTACTCACAGCAAGCAGCACAAGTCACTGACATTCAAAACAAAAACCTTTTTTTTTTTCAGGTCAAAAGCAAAGAAATAACTGAACAAAATCAACTTTCCTCTTCTGTCTTCAGCCTTTCCCTAATCCCTGAGGCAACAATAGCAAAAAACAGCTCGGGGAAGAATGTTCTGATGTAAACTGCTGCTCTGGGGATGGGATTGGCCATCAGCACCTCCTGCTTCTTCCTGCTCACCGTGGCAAGGACCTCCTCTGCCACCTCCACGGGGTGCACTCCATAGGACACCTTCCTGAAAAAGACTGTAAATGAGAGAGGAGTGAGAGCTGCAGACAGACAGAGAGATGGGCAGATACCCTGAGGGAATAGTGTTTAAAAGGTAATCAGCTAGTGAATCAGTCGAATCAGTTTAATTTCTTTAATTTCTTCTTCTCTATGCACTATGTGACCAAGATCTTTTCATAATTGAGGTAAAGTCGTCACAGTCCCTAAGGGAAGGAGCAACCTGAGTGCAGTGGAATTGTCCCTTTGGACCTTTTGTGTCACCCTGATTTTTTAAGATTTTCTAAGCCTTCTGATGTTTATATTGTTATAATGAACATTCTCACAAACTTTATATTAATAACGTATTGTTTTGCATTCTTTTATGGAGGAGGAGAAATTGGATGGACTGTTAGTTTGTCCAGTGTCATTGGAGAGGTGGCACTGTCACCCTCCAATCCACTACCACTTTTGGAAATCTAAAAATGTTGGAGTCAGAAAATAAAAAGTCCCTTTTTTACCTTGGAAAGAGCAGTGAGTCTGTGTCATGTTGTTTCATGTCCTATAGTGACACTGTTGTGCTCTCCTCCCCCTCCATTCCTCATGCCCTGATATATTTATTTTCTCACATAACATTGTCTCATTCCAGGCTCCTTCTCTTTTCACTAGGCTAATATGACCTCTATATAGAGGGATATAGAAGTATTCTTTATAGATATAGAATATATCTATATATAGATATAGATTCTATACCTACATATAGATATAGAATATATCTATATAAAGAAATATAAAATATCTCTTTCCTTTTGCTCCATATGCTTGTTCATCCTTTTTGCCATTTCCATCATTTTTCCTTTGTTTTTTAACCCTGGAAAAGCCTTCATCCTGCTTTATGTGCCTCATCTTCACCCACCCAAACTCACATTTCCAGATTGA